CTGGACAGGCTGGAAAGTTGGGCAGAGAGAAACCTGATGAGGTTCAACAAAGGCAAATGCAGGGTCCTGCACCTGGGGAGGAACAACCCCATGCACCAGTACAGGCTTGGGGCAGACCTGCTGGAGAGCAGCTCTGTGGAGAGGGACCTGGGAGTGCTGGTGGATGATAAGTTGACCGTGAGCCAACAGTGTGCCCTGGCTGCCAAGAAAGCCAATGGGATCCTGGGGTGCATTAGGAGGAGTGTGGCCGGCAGGTCGAGGGAGGTTCTCCTTCTCCTCTACACTGCCATAGTAAGGCCCTCTCTGGAATACTCTGTCCAGTTCTGGGCTCCCCCGTTCAAGAAAGATGAGGAGCTACTGGAGAGAGTCCAGCGGAGGGCTACGAGGATGATGAGGGGACTGGAGCAGCTGTCCTATGAGGAAAGGCTGAGGGAGCTGGGGTTGTTCAGCCTGAAGAAGAGAAGGCTGAGAGGGGACCTAATAAATGCTTACAAATACCTCAAGGGTGGGTGTCATGAGGATGGAGCCAAACTCTTTTCAGTAGCGCCCAGCGACAGGACAAGGGGCAATGGGCACAAACGGAAGCATAGGAAGTTCCGTCTGAACATGAGGAAGAACTTCTTCCCTCTGAGGGTGACGGAGCCCTGGAGCAGGCTGCCCAGGGAAGTTGTGGAGTCTCCTTCTCTGGAGATATTCAAGACCCACCTGGACATGGTCCTGTGCAGCCTGCTGTAGATGACCCTGCTTTGGCAGGGGGCTTGGACTAGATGACCACAGAGGTACCTTCCAACCCCTAACATTCTGTGTGATTCTGCATGTGTGAAAACCAAGTGCTTTTTCTCACAATGCAGAGAGAAAAAACAGGCATAAGGAGATTTTGTTCTGGTGTCAAAGCAAAATTTGAAAGAAAGAAGAATATGAATTTACAGTCACATTTGGACAGACTGTAGCCCCTAAACAACCTGTGTAAAAATGGAACAACATACACTTCTCAGGTTTCACTTCTTACCTCACTTGCTTGACTTCTTTACGTATGGATTTGGACAGTGTGAATGCCTTCTTCATTATTTTCTTTATGGCCACTGTTCTACCATCGCTGAAACAGAATGAAATGCTGTTTATAGAGTTTTAGGCCAACTTCATAAGACAGCCAGACTACAAAAATGGACTTCATAGTTTTTTCTACAGTGGGCAGTTTCATATCTCTAGAGATGAGGCACGGAATTGAAGCATGTCCATATGTGCATGTGAATCTGAATCTGAGTACATGATAGGTGACAGGGCCCCGTTTCTATGATAAGGGATGTGTCAGTGATTATAATCAAGCGTCCTTCATCTGTGGACAACATTTGGAATGTGAGAGTGTTAGAGTCAGTTGAAGTGGCTGGATGATGGAGCAGCAGCAAAGGAAATGTCAGAGCTAGTGAAACATATACAGCAACATGCCTGCTATCCCTTGTTTCTGTCTACTGTTACGGAGAACCATCACCAAGATTTAACATAATTTTGTTCTCATGGGACAAAGCTTTCTCAGAGACAAAGCAGCTGAGTTAGATAGACAGCAAAGCAGTTTTCCTTGGAAGAATAAAGGAATCCAGTGACAATACATGCAGGAATTTAAGCGGTACCCACCATATAAATACAGAGTACAGCAGATGTAGGTCCTTCGCCAGTGAGACTGAATGCCCCATTCTTACATCTTTTACCCTAGATTAATGTCTTTGACCTTGATTCATCAGAGGAAGATGATGGTGATGAAAATGTCATCATTCAGAAAGAAGCAGTAGAAATGCTTACTGTAAAAGATCTATGCTGGACACAGTGTCTCACCAATGAAGTGGCTGTGATTTTCCAGAACAGTGATCTATGCTGAAAAGGTAGGTGCTCCACTGGCCAATGATCCTAAGATCCTCTATCCTGCAAAGCACAGATCCTGCCCTGTGTATTCAAATGGTAGGTATTACTTCCATCTTTGCACATGTTCTGCCCCTGCCCTCTATCTATATCATTTTTATGGGAAAAATTGATTTCTGGATAGCAGGATATGGCTATAGTGTTTGCCCATATAGTTATATGATATGCACCTTTATAACGTGATGCAGAGGTGAAATGTTCTATATCTTCAGTCACATCAGCTGGTTTAAGGACAATATTTCCAATCTGCTACTGTATAGGATGCCACTTTTTAGTGCAAAGAACCTAGCTGTGTCTGCCTGCAGTTTAGAAAAAGAGCTGCATAAAAGCCTTGGTTCCAAAAATATTTGAAAAGTGATGGTCATTCATTAGCAGGTGCAAGACACGTTATGCAGTCACAGCCTTTTAACAACTCACCAAGAGAAAAGGAGAAATTACAACCAAACCACAGGCTTGGCATATAAGATATTCCACAGTCAGTATGCGGTACAGAAGTCAGATGATGATATTTACTTACTGAATTTCGCCTAAGAACAGAAATGCAAGCTTTTGTACTACCTATCAACAGTAAAGTGGCAAGAACCATAAAGCAAGGTGAAACTATTGTCTAGTAGGTACTGCAGTAAATGACTAATATGTTGACTTACTATCTCCCAGTCTGGGTGAAGTACTGTTTCCTGGACACGTTAGCAGTTGCTGTGCAGGAGCTCAGAGCAGTGATACAGCTGGCATTGGAGTCACTGGGTGCTGGGGGAGCACTCATCATGCTTCCTGTTACTCTCCATACTAGGCGATCTAAATGGGATTTTGGATGAGAAAAGGCACCTGAAGGTGCATATGATTGCCAAGGTAGAGAGTCCAGAGGCAGACAAATATAGGTAATTCTCCAAATCTTTGCATCTTGGCTGGTCTTGTTAATACTTAAGACAGAAATACATTGCTTGGAATGTGACTGCTGCTTAAAAAGTTTAAAAAGTTCCAGAGGTGCTTCATTGCTAGATGTCTTTCCCACTAATCCTCAGGATTTGATGCAAGTTTTGTTTCTCTGCTCTCGGGGTCATTAGCTGTTGCTGCTGCTTAGATGCTGAGGACAGAACCCAGGGAAGCAGAGCAAGCCCTGTGGCATAGTTTAACAAGTCTATTTGGATCTCCTAGAAGATTCTGTCATCTCAATGTATGTTTTTTAATCTCTGCTGACCAGCTCAAGGTAACAAAATGGATTTAAAAACAAATTTAATGAATTACATATCATTTCATCATCTCCAGTTAAAACCCAGATTTAGCCAATTAGTTTCAGATTTGCTGAAACTTCTCAACTCTCATTGGTATCAGTATCCTATGAAGTGTTGCTGAGGAAATTCAGCATCTCACCTTGCATCAGGACTGCCATGTTCCCACACCATAGTACTATTCATATGCAGTTCAAAATTGTGTTGACATTTGGAATCTTTCTACAGCATTCCACTCAAAAATATACTAGACATCCCTGAGATAGGGATGAGAATAAGAGTGTGTGTGTAGAGATATATATACATGGTGCAATGCATCAAAAAAGGAGTTATCTTAAAAAAATAAAGCTAATTTTTCACAGTATAGGCTACATACCCTGGGTACAGCGCTACTGATCTGTTTCCATTTAGGCAACTACATTTCAGGCAGCTATGGGTATCCCTGGATGGCTCAGTCCAGAGAAGACATACTGTCTATTTCCAAATCTCACCATATTATCAGTTCTCATTACTCTGAAGTTGTTAATTATCACTCCAAGGTCTTAAACAGTATTGTTGCTTCGCAGGCTCCTCTTCAGGAAAACTCTGGTTTTCATCTTGGATTTTTCAAATTAATTTTTAATGCGTTATTTTTGATCATGCTTCTAATTTCCCTCAGCCTCTTTCTATTGTTTCTCCTCCCCTGTGATGTTTATGACCTCTTCTAATTCACTATCAGCTGAAAATTTGCTCATGTTCCTTTTTGCTACATTAAAAGACACTTTCCCTTGAGTGTTCCATTTCTGTTTTCAAAAATATGTATTGAAATTTGGTTTTATTTATTATTTAATTTCTAAGCCATCATCTGTTCTTTACAGCAATGAGTATATAACATCAAAACCACACAGAAATTGATATTCACATCCAAGGCTGAAAGTACGTCTACTGTATATTAATACAACAATGCTTGACACTTCTACTAACAACACAATGATGTAACACAGATGAAGAAGACATATTTCTAGCAGTTCCTCACAGAGACAGAAAGTGAGAGTGTACATCAGCACAGATCTATCAACTTCAGCTGATTTCTACGGATTTACCCTTTCTAAGTCTAGGCGTTGTTTTCCTTCTGAATGCTAAAACAATGAACAGCAAAGTAAATAACCTATACCTGTTTTAAATGCAGCATAGTAAAGCATATAATAACATCTGATTTTATACTTAACATGTTAGTTAGAACCAATTAAATAATATTTTATATCCAGAAGGTAAAATGAAATAAAACTCTGGCCACAATGAACTACTTTTTGAAGTGAGTCTGTCACAGATAGCATACACTGAGAAAAATTAAGATCTTATTATACCCATTCATTATATCTGTGCAAATCCAGGGCAACTTAGTGAGACCAGTTACACAGAATGATATACCCACTGAAGTTACTGTAATTTATTTTGTCCAAGTCCAGAGGTTATCTGTTTATTTTGGGATAGGCCTGTCTTTTTTAATTGACAAATCACCATAAAAAATAAGGAAACTATTTCAGATAACTTTGACATATAAAATTTCTATAAACAAAAATATCAGCGATCTGTTCCCAGAGGTTACACAGATGAAACTTTGGATACGATTTTCACCTTTTGTAAGACCCTTAAAACATGAAGATGTACCTACAATTGAGATTATTTCTCAAAATTGTATAAGGAAACTGATCATAGTATCAAAATGACATCTTACTAACCTTGTTTGATGCAGGCGAAGTCTATAATCCAGCTTTCATCCCACAACATCTTTTGTTTCTGATATTGAAACCACTACAAAAGTAAGTCAAATTCATTCCTGTTGTAGCTGTACTGACTTTGAAGGAATTAAACCAGAGATTATTATTTTCAAATACGAAAGTTTCTAAGTATCCAAAAAAAAACCTGTTGCTTCAGCATCCAACATATATTTTGTGAGTAACATTAGAACCAAAAGTATTAATAACAGGCTTAGAATCTGAACTTAAAAACTGCACATTCTGTATCTAGAATCTAATTATATGTCATATTTTGCATTGGCTACAAACTCTCCATGATTTTTAATACTTCTTATGCACTACCTTTACATCTCAGCCTGGACATCAGATGAGTAGTTTACATCACCTGATGTCATGGAAATGTCCTATGCTATGTAAGTGCATGACAATAACGCACTACATACCAACCCCAAGATAACGAGCACTGAATCTTACATCCTGTGATAGAATTAGCCCCCAATCCACAAATGAGGTCATATTCTGTCAAATACTCTAGCACAAAAAATACTTGCTAGGGATTCTGCACCTACTTTGTAAAGAAGGCATTGATCTAATAGCTAATTTTCTGTAAAGCTGACATGCAAATCTAACACAGAAAATATAAACACTATTTCAAAAAGAGAGCAGCAGATTAGATTTTACAGCTGTTATAGCTGCAGTCAATGCCAAAATGTCAAACCAAAGCAGTATTTTACTATCATTATACCATTTTCTGGTGGTATTTAATGTTAGGAATTATGCATTCACTGAAACAGGTAACAAAGCCCAGGTAATACACAAGGAACATGGTGTGGAGATTGTATCAATATTTCGGTAGAAACTGATGACAAGTACAGAGATTACTGAATCGAAATTAAGTCATCCCATTTATTTCAAAAGGTTTCTGCGAAAAGACATCTACATTTTATCTTGCAAAGGTATCACTGAACAAAGACATTTTAGCTGGAAGTGGCCACTAAGCTTGCTACAGACACTGATATCAAAGGAGTCCCCTCCTCTACTTGAATGATTAAAAAAGACATTAGCTTCCCAGATGGTTCTTTTTACATGACATTAATTACCAAACTGGAAAAAAGGATTATTTCTAGATCTTGTTTACTTATCACCTAAATAAAAGATAAAAAACCAGAAGATGCTACTGCAGAAGTTAGCAGGAATAAGTATGCAGAAATGTAAGAAGAAAAAAATAAACCTCAAAGTCTACAGAAAAATACCAGAAAGAATAGATAAATTTTGCGACAAGGTTTTTTAGATAAACCTACGCAAGGCCAAGAAACTCCATTGCTCTTTCTAAAATGCCAGTTGTTTAGAACTGTCTGAAATTCTTATCTGTCCACTTACACATTTCTATCAAATCATATGATTTTACAAGACACCTGCTATAAAAACATCATTACAACTGCCCTGTGGACTTAGTGGGCCACCAGCCTTCTGCTTATTCCCTCTCAGCACACTTGCCTACCGCAGATGCTCACTGCAACTGCAGTACAAGATGGAAAAGAAGGAATCCCTGAGCCTGCCAGTTTACAGGATGTAAAGATGCAGACACATAAGGAATGCAGATCCTTTTTCCCAGAAGCACTGTGAAGTAATAAGCAGTTATAGCATGCTGTCTTCTCTTTTTACAGATGTTTTCTTTCAAAGGTATCCAAAATTACTTCTCTGATTTTCATACACTCTTCTCTCCTCGTTCTCTTTTTTTTTCCTTCCTGAGTCTGTTATAATAATTGATAACCATTATGCAAAAATTAATCGCTTTGAACCAAACTGATTCAGTTACACTAAGAAAATGAGTCTATTAAAAAAACCAAAACAAATAAACAGAAAAAAAAAAGAAAGATCCTATTCTCATGATGTCTTTTGAGAATATTCCAAGTTGAATGTTTTCCATTGTAAATTCTATTTGGACTCTCAGATTTAATGGCCTTTGTTGGGGCTAATACCTTTATGAGATTACCTAATTAGGTTTTGATTTCATTCATTTATACTTCTAGATTCCATAGGGTTTTGAAGCAGTTAATTTCATAACAGAGTTTTATTCTATGTGAAGTGTGGTCTTACTTTACGGGGACCACCTAGTTCCCGTGTTGTGAAAAACCTCTTCCTCCTTCACCTTTATATATCCATCCTGCTGTTACACTCCTCTTCAGTCCTCTCTTACTGGATGAAAATTGCTAGCCCAGTGAGCCTCCCCTCATAAAGAAGACAAAAAGATTGTTTCCCTTTCTTCTGCTTTCTTCCACAGCACACAGATTCTGGGTGCAGAGAAAAATCTATCCCACTACTAAGAGAGAGCTCCAGTCTAGCTAACCCAATTGTGGAAGTAGGAGAAAGGAAACAGAAGAGGAGAGAAAGGGTACTTACCATGACTGTCAAAATGAAGCCAGTGCAGACTAAACATATTGGTAAGGCAATTGCTGTCCTAGCATCAGCAGACAGTGGGCATTCCCCACAGTCTGCCGGACAGATAGAGCAGCCTTCTTCTTCCTCACAAAAGCCATCTCCACAGACTGATTAGAAAATGAAACACATATCAGAATATTTTAAGGCAATTTCATCCAACCACAAGACTGTATTCAGAACACACGGTTCATGAGTTCAGAAACCTCAGAGTACCAGAAAGAATGAATTTTGAAGAATAGAGATAGCACCCCAGCAGCTGAAAGAATAATCTGAATTTTTAAAATGATACAGGAATGCTTTGATCAGATTCAAGTGTTAAGGACATCAGAGACTTTGACATGTTTGGTGTACAAACCACTTCATCACTACTCTGTTTCTCATTCTCTATCTGTTTTTTCTGAGACTTAAGGTTCCTCAAGGCCGGCATTATCTTTTGTATGCTTTGTACTTTATCCAGCCCTTGAGATCCCCGGAAGCCACTGACCCCACACCAGCAGCTGCAGAAGACACTGGGTACTGTAGAATGAAACTCTGCAACCCATACGTCAAGGATTTCTTTTTCTCCGAGGTCTTGGAAAAATTATCAGCAGTATCAGCTGGGATTTAAAACAAAAGCCCTGAGGACAAAACTCCTTCTCCCATGTCCTGAATGGTGTTTCAATTTTACCTCTACGCCTGAACTAATATCATGCTATACTTCAGCCTTCTGAGACGAGTTGAAGGTATTATTCTATCACTATGTAATATATTTTTTTTAAAAAGCCTCAACAAAAAAAAAAAAGCACTGCTTAGTAATAATTCTGCCTCAATCCATTTGACTCCAGTATAATACCAAGATAATCACAAAAGTCACTTTCTGCCTCAGGGTTAGAGCTGCATTTTTAAAATTTCTTTTCTGATAAATTGTATGTTTCCTAGAAAACTCAGCTGCAGCGGTCTTGAAATGAATAGCAAATTCTATAGCTAAATACTTCCATCCACACTGGGGTTGCTTTGGTTTTTTTTTTTTCATGCTATTGGGAAATATATTCACAAACTTCCAGAACAGTAGCTAACAAGAGTACTGTGATGACATTCCTACATTACCCAATATTTTTCTTCAGATTGTGTGTTTAATTTAGTAAGTAAAGTCCACCTTTAAAATTTTACATTGCTAAGAGCATTGTTATGGTTATTTCTGCTTCTCTGCGTACAGCTGTACTAAAATGAATGGAACACTGATGTCTTTGGAAGCAATTGAATTTTAATGTCAACGAGGGAACCAAGATGGGTTTCTACCTTTGCTGTATGCTCAAAGCTAGTCTGCTTCCATCAGATGGAGACTGTACAGATCCTCACAACATGCTAGCTGGAAGAATATTTTCACATCCTCATCCAATGCCGACAAGCCTTGTAGTACCTGAAGCCGTTGGTCATGGTATTTGACCTTACCTATTCGACAGGAGTGGCTTCCTACTGTTCTAGATTCATACACAGGTTAGAAGCTCAAACATATTTCACATGTTCAGTGTTATGTGAAGAAGAATCTTGGGAAGACTTTTGTGTATTTTCAGTGGTGAGGGAGGGTAGGAGTCCCTTTTACTCTTGGTAACCATGCATAAATGATAAAAGTATTGAGATTTGCCATCAGTAAATAATTTTCTCATGTCTTCATGTTATAGGGGGTAATTACAAGTGGTAATGGCTTCAAACTGAAAGAGGGTAGATTTAGACTAGATATAAGAAAGAAATTTCTTATGATGAGGGTTGTGAGGCACTGGCATAGGTTGCCCAGAGAAGCTGTGGCTGCCACCTCCCTGGCAGTGTTCAAGGCCAGCCTGGATGGGGCTTTGAGCAACCTGGTCTGGTGGAAGGTGTCCTTGCTCACAGGAGGGGGATTGGAACTAGATCTATCAGGTCCCTTTCAACCCAAACGGTTCTATGATTCTGTATCATACCTACTGCAGGAAGGACTGTGGTTTTTGCTTCCAGAGCAACTTGCATTCTCCCAACTCTGATGTGTGCAATGAGAGAAGTCACACCCACGTGAACTAAAACAACCTGCAAAACAAATGAACAAAGCAGCAAGCATCAAAACTTCACTTGCATACAGTAGGCTATTATAACAACAATTGTCCAGTTGTGGTGTCTGTGAAAGAATGTGTGCATTTTCTCAGAACTGGGAAGGACAGGTGTCTTTGGGGAGACAAACAGAAGCAAGAGAGACAATTCTTGTGGGAAAGACAGGTCTGATTCCCCTCCTGGTGTGTATTCTTTTCACCAAGCCTATGCATTCTGCCATGTTTGCTTCCTTGTTACTTCTGCTGGGTAGAAGTCCCCCAACGACCATATTAACCTGCAACACAGTCCAGTCAGTAGTGCAATATATTGTTAGTGTAGGCCTTAAAGGGCCAGATTAGGATATTCTCTTCCATCCTCATTGTTTCTACTAACTACCTAAGAAGCAGTAGTGTGAGTAGCTGTTACTTCCAAGTCAAGTCAGTTGGGAATTGATGTTACTCATCCATATGTATCACTTACACACATAACACTGACAAAAAAATGAGATGAGGAACATGTACACAAACTGCACTAAACTACTAGCAAGTAGCCTGTGAAAAGAGCAAACCAGGTAAAATCCTGTGTGCAATAAATATACCTTACCTTGGCAGTCCAGTTTCTCTGGCTCATTTTGCCCGCTGTAGACAAAGTGTGAGTAAATATCTGGCCGTCATCTGGGATCCATGGACCACATATTCCTCCTCTACCCTTTAACAGACATATTGATTATGTCAGTAAACCATGACACAATGAAAACCCTAGCTCTTCTTCTTTTACTTTCTTAAAATGGCTTATGTTCTCTAACAGCAAAAACAACAAATATTATTTTTTAAAATACATGATCCAAAATGTAGTCCCAAACTTTAACTGCAGTAATTCTATGAAGCTAATACACTTTTTCAGGATTTGCTGTATTAGAACCAGAAACAGACTCATATCCCACTTTTTATATTTTTCTAAAGGGGTTCTATTGCAGTTTCATTTTTGATATGGCAACTTTTTTTTTCTTTAATGAGGAGGAAGGCACTTCTTCTGTGCCTGTTTGCAAGGCATTTCTCAGTAAAACTGTGAAGATGTAAACCTCCCAGTAATTGCAACCATACAGGATTATTTTCGCTGTCTGAAGATCTTGCATGTTTTCTGTTTGTTTGAAGGGACTAAGTCTGTCTCCTAACTTTAGATATTTCTTCAGGTGCTTTTTTCAATGTACTGTAAGACACAGACCAAACCAAAAGAAATGGAGTTCATGTTAACCAAGATAAAATATGTTAAAAGTCATGACACTGCAGAAAACCCCCCAGCAAAATGTCCTCTTGAATGATGGAAAAAGCTTGCCTTGAAGTGTATGTACAATCTCACGCAATGATATTCATGTGCTTCCTGCTGTATGATAGCCAACCTGCTCAGACTTCTTCTAAGCAGGGACTGAAATACTTTCAGTATTACAAAGAAGCCAGATGATGCATGTTGGCCTCATGCTTTCACCTTTTCCACACCTTACTTCCAAGCAAAATTAATTGTGAAAGTAAGAAGTAATGGAGAAGTCACCACACTGATGGGATGTTGAAGTTTGTTACTATGGTTCCAGACAAAAGTTTTGATGTGATCGTTCCTGCAGGGATTCCTCTTTTAAACCAAAATCCTGGTATCAGCTAAGGCCCCCCGCGAGTCATTAATAAAAAAGCTCCTTCAGAAGGAACTGGCAAGAAGTAAGCTAGAGCTCTTGTGGAAACATTAAGCCTTCACACACAAGGGTACATTAAATAGCCACAAGACACATAGATTAGGTTTTCTGTTACACCATCTTTGATCATGAAGAATGTGTCAGATTGCCAGAAGGGAGATCAACTTGAAAGACTGGGCAACTGCGTGAAGGTTATTATGCAGCGTATGGCTTACCCCACAGACAGAAAAAGAAAAAAACAAAAGGTGTCCCAAATTGTGTTACTAGAGTCAGAACTTTAAATATTCATTCAAAGAGGGACAGGCTCTTATAATGAGCCAAGCAGACAAGCTAAGAATGGATCCTGTTTACATTGCACGAACAAATTTTGTTCTCTTGATTTTGCATTCCTTTTTTGGCTCTGATCTAGTACAGAAAAATCAGTCCATCTCAGGACACGTGTATACAGGCTTCAGTTCTACTAGTCACAGCCCGTGATACTCACCCCACTCAACTTCAATAATTCAAGCAAATCATTCAGGGTCCTTCTGTAAGCTGCAGTTATAGTAACAGCTCTAACTGACAATTTGTCCTGCTTCCTTTAGAATGAAATCATCTGTCTTTCTTCGTCTACTGACTGTACAGAGATTTGAGTCAAGTAATCCGAAAGAGATGAAACTGCCCCCGCTAAACACAATGAAAGATTCTGAATACTGTGTTGTACCAAAATCCAGCCATTTGCTTTGCAGCCTCAGCATCCAGTGCAAAAAATTGTAAGGCTGACAGACATCACCACAGTGGTTTTAGTGAACTACAGATTTTTTCTAACTGTAATCACGGAAAGACTTCATAAACTTGAATGTCATTATTACAATAATGTCTTGCCCAGTAGCAAAAACAGAGCACATAATGCTGCACCGTTATACTAACCATGAAGGCCAAAGGACAGGAGTGAATGTTGGCATGATGGACACAGCAGTTCTCCCCATTTGCATCTTTCCAGCTGGCAGGGCATTCTTGCTCCTCACAGAATTCCTTTGCAGCAGTAGCATTGCTAGCCCAGCAGCAGAGAGAGAAAAAAACTTTCATATTCATTCCTCATTCCCCAAAAATGCAACAAGCACATGAGAGCCTGTTCTTTATTCTGCACAGAAAAAATAGCAGCAGAGACATATGCAGCGAAATAAACACTGTTACACTATTTCTTTCTCTTTTATTTTGCTTCTGGTTGAAGAGGTCCACAAAGATCGCTGTCAACAAGACTACTGTCTACTGCCATGCAGCAGGGACTTCTGGCAGACACTATGCTGCAAGCAGGTACCAACCTCCACTTGTCTCCCCAGACTGACTTCATGACCAGAGGGGATTACTTGGCACTGCTACATCTGGCACAGAAGAAGACACCATTACTCTGCTTCCACTATCAGAAATATGTGTCCCTGGCTACTTTCATTCTCAGTGTTTTCGGTTATATACCTTCATCTATGCATGTGATTCATACATATCATTCAGTTCCAGATTTTGCTCCACAACCCAAACAGCCAAGGAAAACAACTATACTGGACAATAATAGCAGATAAAATTCCCCAAACCAAAAATTGAGAGCAAAGAGTGGATTTTATGGATAGACTGTTCTGTAAAACTAGGTGGGCCTTTTGAAAGTTCATCCCTGAAAGATGAACATAGTAACCTGGAAATGTGTGACACAACACTTTTCCCCACTTTTTTCTCAGTTACGCTTTCATTTGATTTGGCTTTAAAATAAAATTCTTTTCTGCAAACATGGTTTAGTCAGTAGACATAGCCAGACTTAGTTGTAGGGTCAAGTTTAAATGTTATGCACTTGTGATAGATCTCTATATAAAAAGCAATGCCAGAACACCAGGATTTATTTTTCAGTTTGTGTTTATGAAAGAAGGACTAGATAGTAATGAGTAGACTTAACACAGAAGACTGTATTATAAGAAATAAACACAAACATAGCAAATTTATCAATCTCCAAGACATCTAAACATCTAAAATATTAAATCTGTTGGCCTTTGAGCCCATGCTGGGAGTTAAAAAAAATACTTGAGCAAGTTGGTGCCTAATTCCATCACGTATTTGTCTTTATGGCTGCTTTTCAAAATTTATCCTGTATTCTGTACTTTTCATTCAATATCTCCATCATGGTTTCACTCAGTTATGCTGACGCCCATATGTTGACTTGCCAGCTTTAGCCATATTTAGGTCAGCCACTATAAGCTTAAGAGCCAACCAGTTAGTCTTCTAGTTAAAATGAGGTGCAAATTTGATCTGCTTGAAAAACTGCAGCATAGATCTCTCTCTTTTTAAATATTTGCCATCTGTCTCTATGTGCAAGCTATGTGTAAATACACAAAGGTGTAAGTACACAAAGAGAAGAATTTTCCAGATTCCTTACTGATCTAAGGGAATGGGTCTCCCTGGAAAGACTAGAAAAAGAGATTCATTTCCAAGCAGTGAAAAAAACTGGTTTATGGTTAAGTACTTGGAATGATTAATAGCCATCAATTTCAGAAAATGTGATAAATTTTACAAAACTGGGTAACCACAGTACACAGATAATCAAAATACAATATCAACTTTATGTCACTGCAAATGGATTACAGATCATATTTCAATGTGAAAAAAAATCTCTTGGGATAATAGCTTTTATAATCTGAACTTTGCAATGTGAACACTCAGACTGGAAGAGAAAGATGTGAGGTTTTCCACAAAGATCTCTTACACTAACCAAGTACAGCACAGAAAGTGGGGAAATACAGCTGCAGCCTCTGTCCCAGACATTGCTGCATGTGGATGGAAAACTGCTATGTACAGACAAAAGTGTAAAATTAGGGTGTGTTAGCCTTTTAGTAATCTCAAGTTGTACACATAAGTATTCCGTATTTAACTTCTGTTGTCTACAGTTACCAACACAATCTCTGAGATGATATATAAGCTTTTGAACTGATTTAAATCCCACAAAAAGCAAAAGAAATTCCTAAATTAATTCAATAGGTTCAGGGTTGGGCCAGCCTCTTTTTCCTATCCATGTTATACATTTCAAACACGCTTATGATTAAAATGCATATAGGACACACTTAGTCTGGGACTTGTGCTTAAACTTCAGTTGTAAATTCCTTGTGTAGAGAAGGCAAGGAGCAATGTTCAGTGTTGCACTGAGATAGTAATGCAGATAAAGGATGACATGCCCTACCCTTGACCATGCGGGCAAACGTGCTACAATGGCTGGTCTGAAAGCAAAGCCATTGCAGAGGAGTGATATCAGGACAAACAGAGCTATAAGAGACCTCAAGAGATGCAAGGAATTATCAAAGAGCCCCAGAGTATGTGTTCCAATTATGTTACTGAAAATGTATCCACATACTCATGACCATGAGAGCATTTTTATAGGAGGTAATACCTGTGAGAAAGGATTCCGTTTTGCACTGCATATTGATAGAAGCCATCTGAAGCAAAGACTGCATAGGTCACATTGAAGAATTCCCCACTCACAGCCTTTTCTGGAGGCCTTTGCACCCATGCCATCTCCAGACCTAGAAACAACACAATCATGCGCCAACATACTTGCTATACTTTTCTACTTTACAGATACTCACAAATGTAAAACTTTCTCTGTATTGATTTTTGTCTGTTGTTGCTATTGCTTTTTATGAGCCCCAAACATTTGCTCATTTTAGTGGCTGTACCGGTAAACACAAATGCACATTAATTGAACAATTCTGACACTCACTTAGAAAAGATCAAGCAATTGGAGAAACGTGACAAAAAATCTGATCATCTTATCTAAAGTAACTTTTCTCCCAGTATAATGCAGTGCTGCTTGTCCTGACATATTTGCTTTCCTCTTTGATCATGCAATAAACATTGCTCTTCATTCTTGGCTGCTTTCAGAGACACACCTCTGTATGGAAGAACAGACAACTCTAGCACACGTGAAATTCAGTCAAAACTCTTACCCTCATGAGACATAAATTTTATATACTAATAATTATATATATAAGAAAGCATTCTCATTTTATAAAACCATATCACATCTGGAACAGAGGACAGTGGAAGGTGTGCTACTCAGACATCTTCCACACCCTTAATAGGAAAGATGATTTATCCTAGTCATCTTTCTTGTCCCTGGGACACTTTATTACCTGTTTTGAGCCTGAGGATGAAGTGAGATAAGAGGTAGGAGAAGTTTTTATTCCATATTCTCAAACAACACTATCAAAATCTTCCCACTCCATTCATCTACCTCTTTCCATATTGTTGCATGAAGATTTTAATTTGCACTATTTCAGATTACTTACATCATGCAAGTGTGTAGCTCTCAGTTTGTGAAGAAGTTTTAAATCCCTTCTGCAGAGGATGGGTAAATCTGCCCTTCAAGACATCCTGATTTTATTGTTGTTGTTCAAATATCAACTCTTTTATTATTCTGAAGTTGTTTTTACAAGTGTATGCTTCAGCTGCGGTGTTGGTGAAGCTGCTATTTTTTCTTTAAACATAATTCCCTTGCAGTTATAATGAAGCAAATTGCAAAATAACCTCTTGATTTCACATTTCCTTTGAAAAGTAAACACTCATTATAAATGCTAACTCTAGGAGAGAAACTACAACACAAAGATTTACAAAGAAAGCTAGTGTGATTTGCACTAAAAGAGAGCTGAGCTCCAGAGAACGTGAGAGAACGAAGGCAAAAGGTCAGCATAAATTTCAGTTCAATTACTTTCTACTTCCCTTTAAAGGTCTCACAAAGATAAACAAAACTCTTCTTTCAACAACAGATACTCCAACATCTAAATGCTTTGAATATCTTGTGTTAAATCCACAGCAACAAGGCTACAGTATGTGCCTCCTGTTTTGCTTTTAGCAATGCCCAGAAGATGACAAGAAAGCACCACAGAGAAAGGCAGGATAGAGCCTGGAGTTTGTTCTAAAACTGGTTGTAAACGGTATATGTTAGTTAAGACACCTACTCATACTGGTTTCCCTTGTACTGCAAGGGAAAGTATATATTAGTAAGAATAGCTTTAAACAAGTCATCTGTTCTGATAAATAGTTGTTCTGATGTTAAAGCAATACAAATTCGTATAGAGATAAAAGTCTTAGCTGACAATCATCTAGATAGTGTTTGAATTTCACTGTTCCAATGGAACTCTTTGGAAAATGTTTAACTGTAATATTGAGCTCAGAGTGTCACCCAGCAGTATATTTCCTGGAGTGTTTTAGCAGTATTAGTTTCTCAGGTATTCTTTTTTTTTCCAAAAACCCTATTGAAACACATTGTCTCTGGTCTTATCTTTTACAACATAAACAAAAGTGTGCCTTTACATCAGTTATTTATCAGTTACAGAGTCACAAAATCACAGAGCAATTTAATTGGAAGGCACCTCTGGAAATCATCTGGTCCAACCCTGTGTTGCTCAAGGAACACTTAAAACAGGTTGCTCTAGATTTTGTCTAGTGCGGTTTTGAAAAATCTGCAAGGATGAAGAAACCACAACCTTTCCATGCAATCTGTTCTACTGTTTGATCACCTTTACAGTATAAATTATTTTTCTTTTATTTAAGTTGAATTTCCCTTATTTCAGTTGCTCTTCAATTATTTTTCAATCTATCTCAAACAACCAACTTCCAACATAAGAAAATATTCTATTTTTATCTATCTCATCATGTGAATTTGTTTTTGAAACTGACTGGACTAAGTGGTTAAAGATCTCAGATTGAGCAAAGTGGAAAAGCGTAATGTGTAGAATCAGTGATTTTGCTTACTGGCTAGAGGGTTTAAACACAGTTGACTTTGGAACTGATACTACAAAATTTAAGCAATGACTCAATAGAATTTGCTGCAATGCAGAGCTGTCTGCCTGCTTTGTTTGGATTAAGTTGCATTTGGTTTTCTAATGAGAAGTAAAATGTTTTCAGTTTCTTTCTGGGGGAAGGGATTCAGCTGTTGCTGTTACTTTTTCTTTTGGAACCAATGAATATTGGACAAATAATTGCTCTGAAGTATCTTCTGCTCATTTTCTTCCACTTATTTCTCTAGAAAGAGTGCTTGTCACTGACTAGATGCTTTCCACCATGCACAACATTCATCATGAGCTAGATATTATTCTAAGTACTTCAATTTTGCGTTTTCAACCATTCCCCAAGCAAGAGATGATCTTTCTTGATCAGCTTTAGGACTCACTCACCTCCACAGTCCAGCATGTTATATTCATCTGGTTTTTCCAGGGGCCAACAGTCATAGTCTTTGTTATCTAAATCATGCCACCCCTCCACGAATATCACCTGCCAGAAAAAAAGCATATGAACAAACTCCAAAAAAGAAAGTATGGGAACAGGGGAAGGATAAGTTTCATCTCCAAAGTTTATATTTCTTCTAAAGAAATCTAACCAAATGCAGAAAAGTAGCCTGGCGTATTTCACACTCTCCAGTTTCTGGAGAAAAAAATGACAGCTTTCTAGGGGTATACAAACTCAACCAGTATATTATTTTGATCTATCCAGAAATTAGCCATGAAACAATGAGAGGACTTAACTAATCCTTCTCTTGTAAAAGGTTTTCTCTACAAAGGGCAGGTGGTTCTAGGACCAGATGCAAAAAGACATTTATTTAAAGAGGTTTTTTTGTTTGTTTTTAAAAAGGCAACCCCCTGCTCTACAGCGCTCAGTTTCTTTTAATCTTTTAGATCTAAACTCTTTGAATGAGTCATTTTTTGTTGTACCTTTAATAACACAATTTAACTGTTCATTATGTAAATGTTAAAATATATAATTATAGACAAGATTGCAAAAGCCTATTACAGGTAGAATACAGCATCATAATAGCATACAGATTGAATTGCAACCGCAGCAGAATATACATTATACCTGTATATATGTTATGCATTATCATAGGTATATTAATCCTGTATTAAAGTATACAATTTAGGGTATATATGCACAAAACAGAATATGTTATGATAACACATGCTGGTCTTATTCCACTTCTAGTAAAAGATCACAGTTTCTGTTCATATAATCTGCTATTATTTTTCTACATATTGTTGGAGGATAATAATCTTCCAGGTTATACAATTACTTATCACAGTATTTATGGAATAAGACAGAATTATACAACTGATTTTTCCAATATATTCTTCTATTACTCTTGTTTTCTGCATGACTAAAATAGTATTCAACAATTGCCTGGTATTAATAGCTGTAAGTTCTGGTAAGCAGATGTATGTCGTTTACCTACCAATAAATTGAGGAGGTTTCGGAGCCCTAAGGCTGGTGTGTTGACAGATCTCATGCTCCCTAACATGCACCCAGCTCACCAAGTGTCAGGGCTGCTTCTGATGCTGCTGTTGTTACTGGATTAAATGCCCTCGCCTAAGAAGGGGGGTTGCTAGGCAAGCTGATCCTGACGACTCCAGCTGTTGCAGCTGTTCTGCCTCCTCCTTCCCTCTTCTCCTCTACCCCACTTCTTCTCAGTGCAGGGTGGAAACACTCCTCTGCAAATGTGCTGGACCTCTCTGAAAAATAATCACTTTTCTTAGGGACAGCCCTGCTTTCAGACCACTGAAGTCGGTGCCCCTGTCAGCTCAAAACTGGAATAGCAATGGGAGCATTTTATTTCACTGTCTTGTCAAACGCGGGCACCTTCTGACCCTTAGGCATATGAATCGATACTGTGGAAATAAACATGGAGACACAGCTGGGCCTGGTGGAGCAGAGGTCTATAAACTCCAAGGCAAGAAAATGTCACCTATGTAAGATAAACTGTAAGACTAGAAGTTGGACTAGCTGATCTCCTGAGGTTCCTTCCAACCTGTATTGTATTAGACGCTGTAACTTCAGTCTTTCCATCCCTGGAAGTGCACAACAGCTTTTACTTAAGAAGTGTCCTGCTACATACACAGGTTAAACAGACCTCTCTCTAGCTGTGCAGGTACGGTAAAGACATAGACAAGTCCGTGACTATTTCTGTTTGCCGAAGTCACTGCCAACACAGAACTTCAGCTGTGATTCATCTCTCCTGAATGTTTTCCCATGTCTTCTCTGGAATTCTGGCTCTCAGCCCACACTGACATTAAGAATCTCAGTCAAAATTCTTGGACTTCGCTATTTATTGCATCAAAATTACATTAAAACAATGCAATGTGTGCCCAGTTCATCTTGAAAGGTGTTGTAGATCAATTTAAAAAATCTGTTTGGATTCACTCATAAAAGAGGTATTTGTATAAATGAATACAAACATTTTAGGTTGGAATTTTATGTTTGTAGTGAAATCCTAAACCTCATTCGTGTTGTGCCTTTCTGTGCACAGGAAGGCACAACATTTCATGACCTTTTCACCCAAATCAGAAGTTTCAATACATGGAAGCCTTTAGAGTATTTCAGCTTGGCTACATGGTAGAAAAAGAAGTGCCTTTTTTGACTAGAATTATCTGCTTAAAAGAACTCTACATATATTAACATCTTGGAGTGGCTTTACTGGTGATTTGTTTTAGGATATCGTGTGATTAATGAGGAATTTGCTGGCAGGGAAGCTAAGCATTACAACTTGTTAGACCCTACCGCAGCCAAAAGATTACCAGACTGATCCTGTTTTCTTTCATAGGACTGTCAAATATTCACATGACATTAGTATCATGATTCAAGGACTGTAAAGATCATATATTACCGTTATAGCTACTAGTCTATCACCAAGTTCAGAATTCCTGGAGAGTGGCCATGTACATAAAGCTGGTCTGGGAATCCTGAATTAAAGATGGATGGATCAGAATAGCTGGTGATTATCTGATTTAACAATCTGTCCCTGCTATTTGAGAAGGACATTACCACCTCTGCATTTAAGCACTGCAAATTTTAAAAAGTAAACCAGTGAGGTTTTGCAATATAGCTATGTGGACCTTGGTAAAAAGAAAGGGTTGACAGCTTAGTGAGTTCTTTAGCTCTATCTATCTCTAGTTATATAAAGGAAATCAGACACAGATTTGAATGAAGATGGTCAACTTAAACCTAATAATCTTTGCTTTGCATTTGCTTCTTTTTCTGTTTGTAAGTTATATGCATTCACATAATTTGCATTAACATCTTAATATTGCATCATACTATAAATGAGTTTATTAACTCAGTGAGACTCAGTTTAGCACAGATTAACTGAATTCTGCCTACTGCCACTTTACTGGCTTAGTGCAATAACACAGTTCTTTGGCTTCTTCTCTTAGAAGGATCTCTTAATATGAAAAAAATAGGAAATTTCTACTCACTGAAATGAAGTTTATCAAATAACTTTATGTTTACGGATTTTATTTCTGCTGTGTTGCCTGTGCTCAGATGGTCCCTTAAGCTACATGGTTTTCATTTCATTCATTAACTTAGTAATAACTTCTACTACCAAACAGAGGGAAAATAAAGATATTTCAAATTTTTATGAGCAATATCACTATAGATATTGGTAAAAACATGCACTTGTATGAATATTTTTATAATAATCTTACAACTAAAATACACATACGCAATATTCGTAGACAATAATAATCACGGTTAAAATATTGCTGAATAAAACTTGCTAATTATGTGCTGTCAAGTGTTTTAGGAAAACAAATTCCAGCAATATACCAAAACAAAAATTACTGTGATGAAATCTTCAAATAGCCTTGTAGATATTTACTTATTCTGGCATTCAAACTTTCCAGATGGTTCTTGTCTTGATAACAAGCTAAAGTTCAAATAGAGATGTTAAAACTACCTCATTTTCAATTAGATTAAATTTTCTAGCAAGACACTTCAACAAAAAACAATCCCGAAAAATCACTACCAGGGCTTATTTGAAATTTCAAAATGATGGAATTCCAAAGAGACCATTTATCAGAACTGTGCTGTCATTTGTGAAAACAGCTGTTAAAACTTCTTGAAACATAAAACTCTCCTACGCATAGTATTTTCACTGCGCATGGGGTGGCATCCTGCTCAATGTTACACCACTCCCGGCTCCTAGCATCTAAAGTGTATAAGATAATATATTCCCTTTCATAGAGTTAGCACTAATAAAAAGTATTTTAAATGGCATGGATTCCGAGTGTTTTTCTTGCCGGGACACAGAAGACCTGCACAGCTTCCGCAGAGGTGGTGAGCGGGCACGGCCAGAGCACTCTGACACTCCCCCCGACTGGTGCCGTTGCAGACCAGCGGCAGGCCAAGAGGTGGACAACCTGCTGATCTCAGGTTCGCACCTGGGAGTTTGGTGGCAGCAACTGGTGGACTTCTACCCGTCCCCTTCCCAACAGCAGTGATGGACTGGGCAGCCGCAGGAAATTCCCAGGACTTTGGCGTATGGTCACGTTACCACAGCACAGCAACAGATCACACCTCCGCTGGGTCACCGTAACCCTTTATTTACACATTTTTAGCCTGCAGAAAGTGCTTTGCCGTCCTACGGAATGCAGCCCCGCAGACAAAGGGTGTTGATCTTTTCTTGTAATTCCACATTGACACAAACAAGCATATGCATCAAAAGACGCCTTCCAGCGTGGGCTTCTTGTGTGCTCTCCCTGTGGTGCTGGTCCCCCAAGCTCACCACTGCTTAGGAGATGAACTGGACAATTAGATCAAAAGTCTGATCTGGTTACAACTGCTCTTTTTTTTTAAATATTACTCTGCTGCCTTAGTTTTACCTGGATCGGTTTATTCCTCCCCCGCTTTGTCTTTTCTCATCTGTTCTGCGTGCAAACACACTCTTATTCAAGTAACTCACGTGTGTGTTCATGTGGTTCAGTGACACTCAGACCGCATCTCAGCCTGGATAAGCAAGATTAAAAAAACAACAACTGATTTTCTCCAGTAATCTTGGCAATTTAATGAAAAGACTAAACATTGTCAGAAGTTTTGTAGTAGATCAGTAGCTTCAGAAGTACCGAGTGGCCTCAGTTTGCTGGGAGTGCTGAACAGACAACAGGTGTGGGTCTGGTGAAATGCTGAAGAGCAGACAGCAAGCTTCTGGGCCTTGCATAAAGCACACACACACTGTCCCTTAATGTTGTAGTATCTCTCAATTTCTCTCTCCCAAATACTGGAAGTTTGAGAGAATTCCAAAGAAAGAGGCCTTGGGCTAGAAGAATTGTAATCATAAAATAAAAAAGAAGTGATTACATATTTGTTACTAAAGATCTGAAAGGTTAATGTTAGATGATTAATCTTTGATGACAGTTCAACTCAACTGCAGCAGAAGGAGCAAACAGTTACATAGTTTACACAAAGCAACAGAGCTGGGGGGCAGTATGAAAGTATGACAGACTGGAGGAAAAGTTTTGTAAAAAGGTAATTCGGGACATTGAAAACTACAGCTATGAAACTGTTTCTTCTGACTACCACCTACGATGTTACATATACCTCACAAACTCATAGAAACCTCAAAAATGCAAATGGTATTCATTGGTAAGGTGGCAGGTAGTCTTCACTGGACTCTCAAGTTACTGGGAATGCTTAACAAATTTATGCTTTTATACATGCATTCCTCGGGTCCACTCTAGTTCACGGGGCATCACAGGAAAGCTTGTTCTATTGCTGCACTTTGGGTTTGATCTGCAGCACTAAATAAGCTTCAATATTTAATTAATTTCAAAAATGTTAGAAAACACATCAAAACTTGAAACAAAAAGTATCCAAAAGTATCATGTATACTCCCTACAGGTTGTATGAAGACTGTCATCTAGGATATGTCACAAAATACACACTATTCTCTGTTTAGAGGATTGACCAGTACATGAGCTGTTGTGTAAGAAAACCAACTTTCCAGGATTTTCATAAAGTAAAGCAATCTGAAATTTTTCTGCTTCTAAAGAGATGGTGGAAAGAATGATGACATCTGGAATTCTGCAAGAATACTCACAGCTAGAAAAATAACAGGTAACAGTGTTGCTCTCTAGCTGAAAGTGCTGTTGGTCTTAATAATTTGATATAACATCTGACTGAAAATCTCTAAAGAGACTGCATAAGGAAAATTGAACTCCTATTCTCAGAGAAGTCACCAGGAACTTCACTTTCCAAGTGATCCAGGTTAATCTTTAGAAAATCCTAGCCTAAGTACATAACTTAAAAGAGTTTTCTGCGTCAAGGGTTTTGCCTGAATAAATCATCGGGTTCCTGTTACTATAATGCAGCATGTCAATGCTGTAGTTGTTCAAAGGGCATTCAGCAAGTCTGAGAAGGTGAGAATGAATTTCAATTTGATAGGATGACTGCCTGAAAGGCTTAAGAAGAGTTGGTCCCAATTCAACACAGAACAATTTGAGTTTTCTGTTTGGG